AAGCAACATTCGCTTTGTTTATTTTTCCCTCTCAAGGGCCTGCCCTGAGTCTCTGTGTAAACCAGCCAGGGTGCTCTGCCAGGCAATTAGCAGTAACAGGGTAGCGATGGCAGTAGCCAAACACACAGGCCTCCGGGGACAGCGGGAGCACAGCCGCGGCCTCCTGTCTGACGAGGAATGCTATTGTAAACACCACTGTGTCCTCCCTCTCCCAATCTCTCGCACCTTCTAGAGGCCCTGACTCCATTAAGGCAGGTGGACCCAAGGGCGTGCTGTCAGAATTGGGGTCGCTCTCAAATTAAAGCTAGTCAAAATCAACACAAAACATTAGTAGCCAGCTGTAAAGTTGACTTACTCCTAGAATGTGTGGTGATATATTTCCAATGAAACCAGAGTTTCTGAAATCTATCTCGCCGTGAACATCGCAGAAAACACAACAGGTCAAGGGCTGGCACTGGGAGGGGAAGTCCTGGAAGACCAGGTGGGTCAGAGAGGGTCTAGGAGGGTCTAGGATCCAGCCTAGGATCCAGCCTCTCGACATCATCTCCAAACTCAGTTGCACGTACAACCACAGAGGTCACGCACAGGATTGAACACGCATGCTGCTCACTGTTCATCTTTGAATTTCACACTGTGTCTCATTGCCAGACCACATTGCCTATAGTGCACTTTGAATTAATATTTGACATTTTTATAAAAGCCTCATCTTGTAAATAGCACAATTGTGTTTGTTGCCCCTTTTTCTGTGAGTCCCTAAAATATGAGTAGATATTTGCCAAAAATTACATTTAGTCAGCTTCAATGGCCTTATTTCAGGTAAATGTGTGGTCTCTACTAGACTTTTTGAATTATTAAAAAAAAAAGAGGAGCTCCTCTTTTCTTTCCTTGAGAAGCCCAGGAAGGCAGGCATTGCTTCAGCAGAGGCAGTCATGACGGGTGGGAGTGAATCTTGGAAAATGGAGAGTTGGGCGTAGGAAAGGTTTACCGTGTCCATCCAAGAGGATGTTCTGCTCAGCCAACTTTTACCAACTGCTTGGCAGGTGCAGGGGGAACTTCGGGGTAGAGGACATTGCCAGAGCCCTGGGAGTGTACATTTCCTTCTTTGTTTTTTTAAAAACTTTATAGCAAACAAACAACCTACTGATGATAATTTGGTTTCCTACTGGTAAAACCATAAGCTGACCTACCAATTCTATCATTTCGGTTAATTTTGCATTTCTAATCATCCACCCAAATTAATAACTAAGCCTTCTCTTTTTATCAGTGTCTCTTGTAGGTTTGAGTCCCTATCACCAGATCATCCTGCCATGAATTGGCAAAAGTGGGTCTGTTTTCAAACCGAGGACCCTGGTGTGGATCCAGACTGAAACGACCTGTCTTCTCCACTTTGCTCCCCACGGTGAAGTCTCTACTTACGTCTGAGCTTTCTGGTATTATATTAATCTGATCCAATATGTGTTTCATCCATACTCTGAGGCCTCTCAAATTTATGTCACTAGCAGGATCTCTCCTCCCAACTCCAGACTCTAAAAATTAAAATAGAATTAGCACATGCTCCGGCAATTCCACATCACGGTATATATTCAAAAGAATCCAAAACAGGATCCCAAATGCCCAGGACACGCAGATAAGGAAGATGCAGTGTGGACATACAGTGGCGTGTTGTTAGGAGGGGTACTAGAGCGCTTTATTTGGTGAATGCTGACAGCAAACATCATCCGAGAGAGACAAGATAGGAAAGGTGCTGTGAGCAGAGAACCTGGGAAGCCCTCAGGCTCCACACACAGCCTCACAGGGAAAGGCACACCAGGCTCCGGGTCCTCAGCCACTCGGCACTGTATGGACGAACTCTTCATAGCTGATACGACCATGGCTGTCCCTGTGCCCCGCCACTGACATCTCTGCTTCTTCCTCCATCATCTTCCCACCCAGTGTGACAGGGACGTGCCAGATTTCAGGGTCCTCGTCAAATACCCAAATGCCTTCAACATGATCCTCACGGGTGCCCTGGTCCTTGTTCTTGGCTGCAGCCTGCAGCGTGGGCAGGAAGTGCTCAAAGTCCAGCACTTTCAAATTCATCTCATCACTCTTGGGTGTCCCCAGGACCTCCAGCACCTCAGTGTTGGTGGGGTTCTGGTCCCACCAGATGTACAGCCACCACGTCCCCACACTGGCTGTACAGGACCTTGCCATCCCGTTTGGTCGCACGGCTGGAAGGCCTCCTGAATTCTGCAGCCTGGTCCTGGGCAAAGTCACACATCATGACTGCTGAGCTCTGTGGGGACTTTTCCTCACATAATGGAATATTAGCCCTAAAAAGGGAGGAAATTCTGACACGTGCTACAACATGGGTGAACTTTGAAGACATTATGCTAAGTGAAATAAGCCAGTCTCAAAAAGACAAATACTGATTTCACTTATACGAGGTAGAGTAGTCAAACTCTTATGAAAGTAGAGTGGTGGTTACTGGGGGATAGGGGGAAGAGAAACGGATAGTTTTGTTTAATGGGTATAGAATGTCGGTTTTTTGAGATGAGAAAGTTCTGAAGATTCACAGCAATGTGAATGTATTTAACACTCCTGAACTGTACACTTAGAATTGGTCAAGATGGTAAATTTTATATGTATTTTACCACAATTAAAAACTTAAAAAAATATATAACATCTCTTTTGCTTTATTTGGTTTTTTTCTCTTGGTGCTTGGAAATGAGCATCGGTGTTGCTGGCTGTGAGTAAACAGCTGTGGATTCGCCGCTTAATGAAAGGCAAAGGCTCTGTGCACGTAAAGGTGACACGTAAAGGAAGAAGAGTTGTGCGGCACATGCATGGTGGTTTTCTCCTGGGGAAGGAGTATCTTTCCAGGTTTGTAGCACTGTGTGCCGTAGACACGGAAAACACAGGGATTGTAGAGGCGCATTTTGAGAAATGAGTTCAACGTTAGAACAGGGTAGGGGCTGTTCAACCTTTCACTGGGACCTCAAACACTGCAATCTCCTTCTTCTAAGGAACTACCCTTCATGAAGTTTTTAAAATTGCACAGTTTCTGTAGTACAAGAATATTTTCATTCTAAAATGTAAAAATACCTTCAACAATAATCTAAAGACAGTCCAAATTCACAGTGACAAAAAATTCAGTGTTGGATATAGCCTGGCCATGCTATGGTGGCCTTCTCTGCAGGGACATCTGCTTTGTGTCTAGATTTCCAAGCCTTACTTATTTTATCTGTCTCACTTATCTTCCTTGTACCTAGAAACGAGTGTAACAAAGATCTGCCCAGATGATTGACCTTCACCAACAAAACTTTGCATGTTGGCCTCCTCTTCAGAGAGAAGTTTGTCCTCCTGCACTAAAGAAGTTTAGGGAACTGCCAGTGAGCGTGGTCACAAGTGTGTGTGTGCGCCTGTGTTGACATCCGACAACCGAGTCTAATATTTCGTTGGGCAAAGAATCAATCAACACCATTTTTTGAGCCTCTAGCAAGCGTGAAATCTTTCTGCATTTCAAGACATGCAGTGGACCGTGAGAACTGTGAGAAGCGTATACTGGAGTGTCCTGGAGGGCAGAGCAGACGGATGGGCCACTTTCAAGCCTGGACTGTTCCGGGGACCAGAGCAGGAAGAGGCCGGCGGCAACGTTGAAACCCTATCCCCAAGCAGTGTGAAGAACATGCAAATGTCGGAGTTTCTTCTCTTAGGGAATCGAATCCAGTCGAAGATTAGACATGGCCATGCATCGTTCAACCTCGTATCATTGGGATCCTCTAAAAAGGCTGGGAATGTATCAAGGGCTCAATGAAGGTTTGTTAAATGACTGAATAAACAATTGAGTTAATAAAAGTGTAGTAAGTCCCAAATGGGTGTGGTAACATTTAGTGGGGACAAGTGGTCCAGTGTTTTGGAGCAAAGCTGTCATTCTTAGACACAGATGTTAAAGTCTAAGAATGCGGACTTTGCCCTAAAGATGGTATTATCAGATTGCGTATTTAGCACAGAATGACAGACTGACAGCTGGGAGTGACCTATGCCCAGGGCTTGGCACTGGCGGCAAAACCGTCTTTTAAGAACAGAAAAAAGAAAGGTGAAAGATTTTTAAGGAGCACCAGTCTTAGGGGAACGCTCGGCTGGGTGAGGCGTGCAGCTCCAAGCGGGTGGACTGGGGAGCTGCGGTCTGCACCAACGCCTCGCACGTCTTCGTTCGACGAATAAGGCACAGCGACGAAGACGACGATGACGATAAGGAGGGTAACAGTGACGTCGGCTGACATTGCTCGAGCGTGGCAGGCCCCGAGCTCAGCTTTTGCGCGCAGAATCCCGCCGTACACAAACGGAGCCCGAGGAGTCGAATGGCTGCGGCCGCCCGAACCACGCGCGCGACCCGGGCCGGCCCGCAGCCCGCCAGGCCCGCCGCGGCGCGTCCCCGGACCCCAAGGCCCGCCAGGCCCGTGCGCGCGCGCGCGGCGTAGACAAAGGCGGGCGCGCGCACGCCCTGACGCAGCCCGGCGGCGGCGCGGGCGGGAGGCCAGTCAGCGAGGGATCCGCGCCCGGCGCCGCGCGGCCGGTGAGTAGGCGGCGGCCCTTGCGAAAGGCCGCGGGCTCGGGGGCTGGGGCGGGCGGCCGAGACGCGCTGCCGCCCCGGGAGGCGCCGTCGCCGTGCCCCGGGGCCGCCACTGCCGCCGGAACGCGCCGCCCTGGCCGCGGCGAGCCGCCCGCGCCCTCCCCGCCCGGCCCGGCCCCTCGGCCCCGGGCTGTGCGTTCGTCCTCCCTCGCGCCCGCTCCTCTTTCGCTGGGCGGCCCCGGCCCGAGACCCCTCGCCTTCCGCTTCCCTCCACGCCTTCCGGGGCCTGCTCCCCGCGGCCCGGCCTGTGCCCGCCGTGCGCGGGGCAGTGGGCGCTGGGCTGGCGGGGCCTCCGTGACATCCTGAGCCACTGGAAGAATTTTGTTTCTGGTTCGTCCTCCGTCGTCTTGGCCGCACTTGGAGAACCTGCCCGGGTTTCGCGTCTCGCAGATTCTGCCTCTGCCCCGGAGCGCCGCAGTGGTTCTGCTCGCGCCGAGTCCGGGAGACGGAGCGGTGGCGGTGCCAGCGGTGCTTCTCGGAAAGTATTTTCCGGGTGTGACTTGCGGGCAGGAGCGCGGGGTGCGTGTCCCGACCCCAGCCCGCGGCACTCGACAGTAGCTTCCGATTCGGGATAACAATCTTAGTGTCGTGTAAAGCCGCTTCTACACGCTTCTAGGATCTCAGGCTGATTTAGAAGTCCTCCTACCAGGGAGCGCGTGACAGAGTGGGAGGAAAACCAGAAAGGGCTATCTAAGGGAGCAAGCTGCCGGGGAACAGGTCAAAACAAAAAGTATTTCAGATTTGGAAGAGAACTTCCAGATCATCTTGTCCAACTTTTTCTTTTTCTTTTTTTCCCGAGCCCGCAAGGTCCAGAGAAGTTGAGTGGCTTTTCCAGATGCACAGGTAGCAAGAGGCTGACCTGGGCTGCAGATGTCTCCCACCTGCGTCCAGGCGGCTCCCGCCCCACCGTGCTGCCTCCCTGTAGGTCGTTCCCTCCAGGAGGGAGAAGCCTGTCGAGGAGCTGGGTAAACATTAACCCAATCCCAGAATAATAAAACTGGGGGATATCCCTTAAATTAGTTTGAGAACTATTTGGGATAAATGAGAAGTTCTAATCATAGTTTTTAGGAGACACGGGGAAAATTCTGACCTTAGAAATGAAATATCAGATTGAGAATAAGAACAAGCTATAAAAGATTTAGATAACATTCACAGCTATTTAATGAAGGGTAACTAAGGGGAACGGGGATGATTGGAGTGCACCCCTGGTGTTTTCACACTTACTGTTCTGGGAGAACAATAGCATTTTGTGTAAATCCTTTCCTGCCATTAACAGATAAGAATCTGGGCTGCTTGAACCATAGGTTAGGCTTTTTTTTTTTTTTTTTTAACAATACCATGGTATTCATTTCCTAACAAACTTTGTGCTATTAAATTTCCTTATCTCAAGAAAGACAGGTAAATTCAGTGCTTGTGCCTCAATTTTTTTTTACTCTTAAAATGGTGATATTCTGCCTCTTCAAGGAATGCTGTGAGCGAGTCCTTGTATGTAGAGTTCTTTGAGTTTGGGTATAAATTCAGATTATTATATGACATGACATAATTGTAAATTTACTTTCAGGATGGATTTTTCTTCTGTCAGTTTGTGACCTAAATGCAGTAGTTATCATTAGTTGTCAGTAGTATGGAGCACCAGTTATGGAGCATCAGCACTGAAATAACAGTGTCTGGTCTTTCAGTCATAGTAAATCATTACTCCTAAAGATGGGGGAGGGGGAGAAGCAGAGGGTGTGTTCATTTTGTGTTTGGTGTCAGGAGGAGGGCTGTGGCTAGTCTATCGGAATCCTAGCCTAGCTTGCTAAGTGGTTTCTGCTAAAGAATAAACACTTTTCTCATGTGTGCCTATCACCAAAAATTACCTTTTATTAAAAAAAAAAGTGCTTTCTGGAGATTATTTGGACGTGGTTCAACTTGAACTGTACTGCAGAGTTGTTTCTTCAAGTAAAACAGATCCCCGTTCTGGCATGTCATTTACTTCTTACTGTGTCATTGTGCTCACAGGGAGAACCTGACCAAATAACACCATCCCATGTTAGCACTGAGCCACATCATAGTGCTTATTGCAGCGTGATTAACGTTTTTTAAGAGAGTAGCGTTTTAGAGTTAGAAGGAATGCTGTAAGTGCTGGGGTTTTCCCCGACTATTTCAAGGTGTTCTTTCTCCTTTAAGACGAGTAGACACGCGCACGTGCTGAGCAGTTGCAGGGGCTTGCCTGCTTTCCTGGGGCACTCTTTATTGTGCCTGTATGCTCACTGTTAGTGTGTTTGGATCCCACCGTCAATTAAGCTGTAAGCTCAAGAGCTGCAGTAATAAAAAAAAAATGCTTTGTAAAACACAGGACCTTAATAACATTTTTGTTGACTTTTTTGAATTAAAAAAAAAAGGTCAGGAAACTTAAATCCAGGGAAGCCAAGTGACTTATTCAAGGTCACATAAACCAGATAATAACAGAGTTGTACATAGAACTTGAGAAGACTCCCATTTCCAGTTCTAAGCCTTTTTGCACGATATTATTTTCTTAACACCCCAGAGAAAAAGGGTGGGAAAAAATAATATATATAGGTATTTTTTTCCTTATCAGTTAATGATATATTATTTTCAGAGTTTCCTTTAAAATTTTTTGATCAGTACTGTCCAATAAAAATATAAGGCCGGGTGCATTGGCTCACGCCTGCAGGAGGATCAGTCAAAGCCAGGAGTTTGAGGCCAGCCTGGGCAACATAGTGTGACCCCTGTCTCTACGAAAAAGAAAAAAAAATTAGCCAGGTATGGTGGTACGTGCTCATAGTCCCAGCTACTCCCAGCTACTCAGGAGGCTGAGACAGGAGGATCACTTGAGCCCGAGAGCTAGAGGCTGTGGTGAGCTGTGATGACACCACTGCACTGTAGCCCGGGAGACAGAGCAGACCTTGGCGCTACCAAAAAGAATATGTGTATGTATATATTATATATATGGAGAAAAAGAGTGTGTGTTAATTAATTAAATTAAATGAGTGTATATATACACTCAATTTTCATAACAATAATGCAAGAAAACCACTACTGTTATCATCCCCACTTCACAGAAAATGAAACTGAGACAGAGAGTGGTTAAATAACTTGTTGGAAGTCACACAGCTCTTAGAGCCAGGATTTGGCATAGGCC